TACTATTTTTTAATGACAGCCATCTTAACAGTTGGATCAACTTAGAAAAGACGATGATTCTAGCCCTCTCCTCCACAGTTCAATTGCTCAAATAAACCATTTTTTTTATAAGTTTTCATCCAAACACATATATCGTACATGTTGTCAATTCCCCAGGAAGGACTAAGCAGAGACTCTCCTCTGTTGCCTGTGGCAGGGCCGTCCCTGGGGAACAGTAACTCACTAGGGCACCCAGTCAGTGGTATAAAGTAGTATCTTAATTGCAGTTTTTCTGGGCTTCTTCAGCATGTGGAGCAGTAAAGACTGCAACAACAAGCAGTGTGAGTAATTTGGGGACCAGATAGAACCCTTTCTACACTATTTAGAAGGATGAGGACCTAGTTAGAGAGCCTGAGATCCCTCTCTGTCAGTTGCTGTCTTGAGGAGCCAGTGAGCTAGAGGATGAGTAGATGCCAGGAGCAGGAAGAAAAGGACCTTCCATAAATGGCAGGTCCACACCCTCAGGTAGGGGAGAAGTAAAGAAGGCTACTTTCTGAACACACAGATTTCCTAATTCATATAATTATTAAACCCAGGCTCTGTGTCCAAGCAGGTGAGTACACTTTTGTTTCTCTAAGTAAGGCATCAGTATAAGGGAAATCCCACCCGTCCTGTGGGTGATCTGAACATTTTCTAGGTGTCTATACTCTCACTATGAGATTTTTGTTTCCATTTTTCTGAGTAAGAAAAGCCTTTTATAAAAGACTCATATATTACAAAATGATGATACCATAGCATTAGATAGCACCTCCCTCATGTCACATAATTACCATGGTTTTCTTTTTTTGTAGAAATTTAAAAAAAAAAGAAATTTAAAAAAGAAAAGAAAAGCACTTGGCTTTGAGGTCAAGTAAAGAAAGTATGGTGGATTCAGCCTTTTGTTTGTAGACAATTTGACATTCCCAGACTTACCCAATCACAAGTTAACAGAAACCTAGAATGCTAAAGAGGAAGTGCTTGAATTCCTTGGGGAAAGAGAGCTATAATTTATAATATCTTTGACCCTTTAGTGTCCTGGAGATAATAATAGAAGAACAAACCTGGTCTGTTTCCAGGTTAAAGTGATTTATTATATAATACTTCCGAACTTCATGGGAAGAAAGAAACGTGTTAACAGAACTTGGCTACTAAAATAGGCATTTTAGTAAAAGAACAGAAAATAAAATATTTCTTTTGTTTCACTATAAAGAATCCTTTTCTAATTATCAGACTCCTCATGACACTGTAATATTCTCAAAAGGGGATAGAAAGGTCATGCATGCTCTGATGCAAGGAAGAAATTCTTGTGATTGCATTGGAGTTGCTCATGGGTTTGGCAACTAGTCTTAAATGGTATCCTATCATTTTACCCCCTTTGCTCTAAGTTTCCTGAAAGTTCAGCTTAAATTACCATTTGGATCCTTCCACCACAGCCAAGAGCAATAGATCACATAAATACCCACAATTGCATGGGATCTACCTATGAACTGTGGACAAAGGCAAGTTCTAAGATAAGAGATTTGAGAATAACTCAATAATAGATCAATTAATGCAGAATGGAAGAAAGAGATTTGTGACGCTAATCTGACATAAAATTAGTCTTCAGATTCCCACAAGTTAAAAGAACAGCCCAGAATTCACCTTCAGCTATCACATTATCATTTATGTTACCAATGACAGAGGGTATTTCCTAGTTGATCCTAAGTAAACCTAAATAAAACTGGATAATAATAAATAGTAATTGTATTAATCTGGAAGAGCCATTGGTTTTTAATATATGCAAAATTTATTCTTTAAGTTGTGAACATATGCACCTAGGAGGTACTGTGTTAAGGGTTGCAGTGGAGGGGAAAGTGAAAGTGAAATTTGCTCAGTCATGTCCAACTCTTTGTGAACCCATGGATTATACAGACCATGGAATTTTCCAGGTCGTAATACTGGAGTGGGTAGCCTTTTCCTTCTTCAGGGGATCATCCCGACCCAGGAATCAAACTGAGATCACCTGTATTACAGGTGGATTCTTTACCAACTGAGCTATCAGGGAAGCCCCATACTGGAGGGGAACTGGATTATAAAATTTAGGGTGTCTTCATTCAATTATTATTTTGTTGTTCATTCATTGATTATTCTTGGGGAAAAAACATAAATCTGTGAAATTATCAAACTCAAAACACTGAGAATGAATGAGATTCTTGAGGAAATGTGTCTTGGATTAGTAAAAAGAAAAGCAGTAACCAGGAGATAATTAACACAATAAACAGAAAATTTTATTTCTTTATAAGAAGGAGCCAAAGGTCACAGAGTGGAGTAAAAAGATTTTTGGAGAAATAGGAAGGGGCTTCAACTGCAGAACCTCAAATCTTGTCACTATGGAATATCAGAAGAGAACAGGGTTCTCTTGATAATCTAATCCTGCCAGCACTCACACTTAACAAATTTTCCATATCTAGCACAGCCCATTGTCAATACAGGTGGTATTAGACTCCTGAAAGTGTGTAAGCCAAAGAGGCTTGAATTTGAATTTAGGCTAATTTCCAGCATAGCCTAGGGGAAACTCATCAAGCTTCTTCCTTCTTTTTTAAACATTGCCTTATTGTTGCTATTATTATTCCTTAAAGGTTACAGGAGGGAAGAGAGCTAGGGAAAGGGGCAAAATAGATGAAGGGGATTAAGAGGTACAAACTACTAGGTATAAAGTAAGTTATAAGGATATGGTGTACAGCACAGGGAATATAGTCTTATTTTATAACTTTGTATGGAGTATAATCCATAAAAATATCAAATTACTATGAATTCGAGTTGAGCTATTTTAAATCCTAAAAGATGATGCTGTGAAAGTGCTGCACTCAATATGCCAGAAAATTTAGAAAACTTCAGTGGCCACAGGACTGGAAAATGTCAGTTTTCATTCCAATCCCAAAAGGCAATGCCAAAGAATGTTCAAACAACAGCACAATTGCACTCATCTCACACACTAGCAAGGTAATGCTCAAAATCCTCCAAGATAGGCTTCAACAGTATGTAAACCAAGAACTTCCAGATGTACAAGCTGGATTTAGAAAAGGCAGAGGAACCAGAGATCAAATTGCCAACATCCATTGGATCATAGAAAATGCAAGAGAATTCCAGAAAAACATCCACTTCTGCTTCATTGACTATGCTAAAGCCTTTGACTGTATGGATCACAACAAACTGTAGAAAATTCTTCAAGAGATGGGAATACCAGACCATCTTACCTGCCTCCTGAGAAACCTGTAGGCAAGTCACAAAGCAAGAGTTAGAACTAGACATGAAACAGTGGACTGGATCAACATTCGGAAAGGAGTACGTCAAGGATGTATATTGTCACCCTGCTTATTTAATTTATATGCAGAGTACATCGTGTGAAATGCCAGGTTGTATGAAGCACAAGCGGGAATCATGATTGCTGGGAGAAATATCAACAACCCCAGATATGCAGATGATACCACTTTAATGGCAGAAAGTGAAGAGGAACTAATGAGCCTCTTGATGAAAGTGAAAGAGGAGAGTGAAAAAGCTGGCTTAAAACTCAACATTCAAAAAACGAAGATCATGCCATCTGGTCCCATCACTTCATGGCAAATAGATGGGGAAAAGTGGAAACAGTGGCAGGGAATGCTCAATGAATGCAGTGAGGGAATGATTCCTGTAAAGCAATGGATTGCAAGGGCATCCAAAGACCCAGGTGCATATTCTCTCGGCAAGGCAGAGATGGATCCCAAATACCTAAGTGCTCTCAGCGACCTGGTGAGAATCAAGCATCTCTTCATTTAACTTTCTGAGTACTTAATATGACATTCAGCCTAGGAATTTATCATTACTGGGTGTTGATTAGAAGACAATGTCCTGGGATTGTACTCAGACTCTCCAAATACAAAAAGATCTAATAGCTGAGTCAGGTGAAAGCTGTAGTTTTCTCCTCCTTTCATGGACTAAAGAATTACTCTCTTTTTACCTTAGCTAAAATATTTCTCTTCCCTATCAACAAGGTTAAAAATAATGTACTGTGTGAAAGCACATATGCAAAATATGCTATCATTGGAATAATAATAAGGCAAAGGGATGATGATGATGAGCATTTGGAGAGTGCTTTACGTAGTGAAGGGCTTCCTGGTAGCTCAGCTGGTAAAGAATCTGCCTGCAATGCAGGAGACCCTGGTTCGATTCCTGGGTCAGGAAGATCCACTGGAGAAGCAACAGGCTACCCACTCCAGTGTTCTTGAGCTTCCCTTGTGGCTCAGCTGGTAAATAATCTACCTGCAATGTGGAAGACCTGGGTTCGATCCCTGGGTTGGATGATCTCCTAGAGAAGGGAAAGGCTACCCACGCCAGTATTCTGGCCTGGAGAATTACATGGACTATACAGTCCATGGGTCTCAAAGAGTCAGACACAACTGAGCGAATTTCATTTTCACTTACATAGTGAAGAGTGTTAACAAACATCACTTTTTTCAATATTAGAAGACACTGACTGCAAGTAAAGGGTGGAAATAGTATAGCATTTATATTTAGAAAGAAAGAAATTCTAAATCTATTTCAGTCATTTATTTTCTCCTGGAGGAGGAAATGGCAATACTGCAGTATTCTTTCCTGTGAAATCCTATAGACAGAGGAGGCTGGTGAAATCCCATGGATAGAGGAGGCTGGTGGGCATCTGGGGTCCATGGGGTCCAAAGGGTTGCAAAGAGTTGGACATGACTGAGCAACCAAACACCCACCCAGCCATGGAAAATTTAATCTATCCCCCAACATGCTGCATTTGTTTTGAGGACACATTTGTTTATGCATATACATCCCTGGAACAGTTAATAATACAAAGTAAAAGCTGAGAAAAGGAAAAATAATAAATAAAAAGAATAAATAAATGTCTTCTTTGACAGATATCTGGTCGGTGTCTTTCTGTCTATCTGGCAAGACTGAAAAAGTCACAAGTTTCTGGAGACCTCAACTGCCTTCCAGAGATGATCCCTTCCCGGTCCTTCAATAACATCTCCTTCTTCCAGCCACCTGCTTTCCTGATGATTGGCATCCCAGGCCTGGAGGCTATTCATGGCTGGATCTCCATCCCCTTCTCCATGTACACTGTGGCCCTCGCTGGAAACTGCTTGATCCTCTTGGCTGTGAGGAGGACCCCCAGCCTGCACCAGCCCATGTACTACTTCCTGTCCATGCTGGCCCTCACCGACGTGGGCCTCACCTTGTCCACAATGCCCACCACGCTGGCTGTGCGCTGGTTTGACCATCGGCTCATCAGCTTCAATGCCTGTCTGGTCCAATTGTTCTTCCTCCACTCCTTCTCCGTGGTGGAGTCCTCGGTGCTCCTGGCCATGTCGTTCGATCGCTTTGTGGCCACCTCCAACCCCCTGCGCTATGCCTCTGTCCTCACAGACAGTGTCATCATCAGGATTGGAGTGGTTATTGTGGCTCGTGCTACCCTGTCTCTCTTCCCAGTGCCTTTCCTGCTTAAATGTCTGAACTTCTGCCCTAATAAGACCCTTTTGTCCCATTCATTCTGCTTCCATCCTGACGTGATGAGAAGAGCCTGTGCTGACATCACCATAAACATCCTCTATGGGCTCTATGTGGTTGTGTCCACTGCGGGCGTAGATTCCCTGCTCATCGTCCTGTCCTACACTTTCATCCTGTGCACGGTCCTGGGTCTGGCCTCTCCCAGGGAGCGTATCCGGGCCCTCAACACTTGTGTTTCTCATATTTTAGCTGTTCTGGTTTTCTTCATCCCAGTCATAGGTGTGTCCATGATCCGCCGTTTTGGGAGACACCTTCCCCCCGTAGTACATGCCCTTGTCGCCTACGTGTACCTGGTGGTGCCCCCTGTGCTGAACCCCATCATCTACAGTGTAAAGTCCAGGCCCATCAGGGAGGCCATGCTCTGGGTGCTGAGGAGGAAATGCCAGAGTTGATGATGCCAGATGCCTGCAAGATTGGGGGCCTTGAAAAAAGCTTGGCAAATCAAAATTTCAACTCCTGAATAGATCAAGTCCCACCATGGCACTGTTTGCGGCATCTGGGAAAAGAGGTGATTAATAAGCATGGGAAACTTTCATTTATTTATTTATTCTTTCATTATTTCACATACATTTTTCCAGTGCTAACTTCTTTCTAGTCCTATGCTAAATACAAGGAATACAGAAATGATTTATAAATGGTCTTTCCCTTCAAACATCTCACCTTTGAATATACATAAAAATTACATGTATAAAAATGTTTAAGTAAGTGTACATGCTCAGCTGTGTCTGACTCTGCAACCCTGTGGACTATAGCTCACCAGGTGCAGTGGTAAAGAATCCTCCTGCCAATGTAGGAGACATGGGTTCAACCCCTAGGTTGGGAAGATCCCCTAGAAAAGGATGGCAACCCATTTCAGTATTCTTACCTGGAGAATCCCATGGACAGAGGAACCTGGTTTGTCATAGCTTTTCTTCCAAGGAACAAGCATCTTTTAATTCTGTGGCTGCAGTCACCACCTGCAGCGATTTTGTAGCCCAAGAAAATAAAGTCTGCCCCTGTTTCCATTTTTTCCCCATTTATTCGCCATGAAGTGATGAGACAGGATTCCATGATCTAAGTTTTTTGAATGCTGAGTTTTAAACCAGCTTTCTGCCATTAGGATGGTGTCATCTGCATATCTGAGATTGTTGATATTTCTCCCAGCAATATTGGTTCCAGCTTGTGATTCATCTAGCCCAGCATTTGGAATAGAAGTTAAATAAGCAGGGTGACAATATATAGCTTTGACATACTCCTTTCCCAATTTGGAACCAGTCCATTGTTCCACATCCAGTTCTGTTTCTTCTTGACCTACATACACATTTCTAAGGAGGCGGGTAAGGTGGTCTGGTATTCCCTCTCAAAACTGACATCCTGTTATGCACCTGATAAATAGGTCAAATGATTATTTTCAAGTGTATAAGTGCTCTCTCTAAAATCTGAGGAAGACTAATAGGTTCTGTGCCTCTTTAGAGGAAGTAGGAAGAACAAGGTAAAGTAATTTGCCCTTTACTTTGGAGAGGGTAGGCTGACAGGACACAGAGCACTGAACCTGTAAGAGCTTCACTGATGTGTCTGGCTGCCTAATATTTGAGCACTTTATCTCTCGCTCTATGATGTACAAATGTCTTTTTTTATATATAATTATTTTAATGATAGTCTTAGCCTATGGATAACCAGAATTGTGGTTGGACCAGCCCTTGGGGTTCTTATTACTTTTTCAAGATTTTTTAAATGTTTTCTTGAATTTGTTACAATATTGTTTCTGTTTTATGCTTTGGCATTTTTGCCACGATGCAAGTGGGATCTTTGCTCCCCAACCAGGGATCGAACCTGCACCCCCTACATTAGAAGGTGAAGTGTTAAGCACTGGACCACTAGGGAAGTCCCCTATGTACGTATGTTTTATGAGGATATTCAGAGGACTTACCACTTCCTGATCTCTTCTCCAAAACCTTGGCCAGTGATCTTAACATCCATATCCAAATATCATGCTCCTTCAGCTCTTAAAAGTTCTTTTGGTGAAAAGTATTTTTCCTTCTGTGACATAAGCATTCCTTTTTTCCTCATGACCTACTTCTGAGTGTTCAGTTTAGTTAATGGTCACAAGTAATGTCATCTCTGTGTTGGCTAATTCTGCCTCTTTCCAGCAAAGAGAAAGGTATTCTTTTTAAAATGATGTGAACAGCACAGATGGGCCCCTGAATCATCAAAACCTGTTGAAAGCAAGTTTTACAGAGGGCTGGGGTAGATAACCAGAGAGTCTACATTTCAAAGAGTTCTGATGGCTCATATCTCTAATTGATCAGGGTTTCCCTTTCTCTTGAAAGCTCCCTTCAGCCTCCTCCATCTTTCTTACCCCCTCATCACATTCTCCAATCCCAGGAGTGAAGCACAGCAGAAAAAAATTTCTCTGTGACCCAAAGCCTGATATGCCTAGAGATGGGCTGCATTCCCCTGAAGCAGCATAAAAGGGGAGTGTCTTGGCTGCAGAGTTTTCCCGGGTTTATGTAAGAAGTGGCACAACAAAGCAGCCTGGGGAAGCAGCCAGGGTAAGTAGCCAGTGCCCAGACTTAGAGCCTTCTTTATGTCCAGAGTCCTGGAGGACACTTCTGTTACCTTCCCCTCTCCTCCTTCAAAATAAGAGTTAAATGGAGATAAGTGACAGAAGGCAGAGGTAGCAAGAAATATGGAGACTGGAGTACTGAGTACCCTCAGTGGTAGTTTCATATTCTGCATAAGGGAAAGGTCAAGGATAATCTCTTCCTGTGGCTCCTGGATTAGCTCAGAGAAGGCCTCAAAATCCCAGGCTCTGTTTCTAAGACTGATGTCTATATTGGTGATCCAGAGTGGTAATGGTTAAGGGTACCAAAATCTCTTCTGGGCTACCATTCTAGAAAAATAGAAGGATGCATGCTTGGCAACACACAAGCATAGTATGCAAATTACTCTAGTGACTTTCATTCATTCACTTGTTTATCACAGCAACCAAATTCCCAAGATATACCATACATTGTACTGAGTAGATCCTAATGAATATAAATCAGAATTGCTATTCTTGGGAGGCTCAAGCTAGCTGAGAGGAGAGAGAAATCAGAAATAACCAGGTAAATGACTGAATGGTTGAATGTGATTTCTAAGAGATGTGAATGAAGAAACAGAGGGAGGGTAAAAAATGGCTGGGCATGTGGAGGGTTGTTTAGCAAAAACAAAAGTTTAGGAGCATGAGAACCTTAAGGGAAGGAGAATCAGAGGGGGAAAAAACAATAAAAGGAAAAGGTAGGAAAGCGAAAAACAAATCTATTTTAGGAACACTGGGTCTTGCAATCATAGAATGCCAAAATTAGAAAGACAGATAATCTGTCTCAGTTCCCCGATTTTACAGATGAGGAAATTGAGGATCACGAGGAGAAACTGAGAGATTTTTAACAAGCCTGGTACCACACGCAGTCTGTGGAAAACAGTGCAATTTATTTGGAACAACAAGATATGTGACAAACAGAATTAAGATTAGATCATTCAATGCTGTATCCTCACTAGAAACTTTACTTCTCCAAGCCTCAGTGTCTTCATTGATAGGAAAAGTTAGATATATCCCACCATGTGGCTTCAGAGTGGGGGGAATTCATTGTTCATCATAACTTGACTAATTTCTAATCTGTGCCATACATAACCAGCACAACTCAATGATATAGTGGCATAGCTCTAATTCTCTACATTAAAATAAATTGGAATGCATCATATCTGCTGTATGCTGTGTGATAGTGTTACTCCACCAATTACAAAGCGTGGAGACAGAACAGAGGGTATCTGCTCCTGTGGTTGCCCCAGAGATTCTGAAGCCCTAAAGGGATGTACACCCACGTGACAGTACAGAGCTCCAGCCAAAGGCACTGGTGGACTGGCCTAGAGAATGATTAAGAGGTTCCGTGGTGCAGGGATACACCAATTTCAGTGTGGAAAGGAAAATTAGGAAAACTGAACTGATTGAAGTAGCTTGAGAAATCTGCCAGGGGAGGAGGTGGTTGTGTAGGTAAGAGAAATGATACTAGCCAAGCAGCCACCCTAAGAAACTATAAAGGAAATGATGAGATTATGAACTATTGAATTAGGGACTGAATTAGAAGAAGGAGAGCACAGATGTAAGGCATATTGGGCAGATAGAGGAAGCTGGTGAAAGGACATCTGTTAGCTTTAATTCTAGGCAGATTATCCAATAGTAAGGTTGTAAGTACACATATGTCTGTGAGGACCCCCATCACACTTCTCAAAGCAGTATGGATAGACCCAAATACTTGACATTCATTGTTGACCTTAATTCTTTTCATAAATTCATTTTCAAAAATTTAACAAGACCCTTCATTGGGCATTTCTCTTATGCCAAGTCATCCATGAATCAAACATGTTTTCAATTCTATAATGCATTAATGCCTAGGATAAGACCTCAACTACCTTCCTCTTTAGAAGCAGCCCTTTTCCCAATATTTGGAAGATAGGGGAATAGTAGTTTTCTTTTACTTCCTCTCCTTTCATTGAGTTTACAGACTTGATTATTTATTTTGTCATTTATTTATTCAAACAAGCAAATATTGACTGAAAATCTGCTCTGTTCCAGGCACTGCACAATGCAAGAGCTCTGTGTCAGCAAATATAACCATATGGCTATTGTATTCATGGCTCTTACAGTCTAGTGAGAGAACAAAAGATTTCAAGGAAAGAAGCAATCATAAAATTTTAAAATATGTGGAGTGGTATCAAGGAAACTAAGTATGTGTAGGGTGAGGGTAATGTGTTTGGTATATGGCTCTCGGCACCTACTTGATGAGGGTCAACCCAAATGGTCTCTGAGAAAATGATATTCAAGATCTAAGGACAGAGGAGTGAGCCAGGAGAAAGCAAATAGAGGGATAAAGGATGAACAGGAAAGCCCCAAAGTGAAGCAGTAATTTGGCTTTTTTAATAAACTGAAATAAGATCTGTGTGGTTAAAGAATACTAAGCAAGAAGTTTCCTGTTCTGTGATAAGGGTGGAGAGTTAGGCAGGTGGGGTTGAGAGGGATAAATTGAGAGCTTGGGACTGACATATACACGCTACTATATATAAAATAGATAACTAATAAGGACCTGCTATATAGCACAGGGAATTCTACTTACTCTGTAATTGTCTATATGGGAAAAGAATCTTAAAAATGAGTATATATATGTATGTGTATAACTGATTCACTTTGCTATACACCTGAAACTAACACAACATTGTAAATCAACTATATCCCAATTTAAAAAAATGTTTGAAATGATAGGGGTCAGTATCACCATATAACATCATATCACAAGCATTTTATCAGAGTGCACTGAGGAATGACTGAAAGGTTTTAAGCAGGAGAGTAGCATAAACAAGTCACTTCTCTGAATCT